TATTGGAGCTGAGAGGACATAAATTGATTTCAACTACACAATTTTAATTTCTAAATAAAATCGGTCATAAGTATGTAAGTGGTGATAAATAAGTTTGTGTGTATTTGGGTACAGTACCTCAATTTTTATAATTGATGACTAAATACGTTAGGTATGTATGCTGTAACTCATTTGTAGCGTATGTAGAAAACAACCCTTAATTGAAAGTGCCTTTTGTGATAGCGGTCAGCCTAAAATTCATATAAATTTAATCGATTATATATTTAAAATTAGACTATGGTACATTTACAGCCTATTTACAAAATATAGCGTTTCCGATTACAGCTGCTCCATTTAGACTACATTTAACAGATTTTACATTATTACATTACAAATTCTTTCTCATCTGTACTATTGTTACGAGTGTTTCAAAAACTAAAATGTCATGAATTTGTTCACTGAATACGTACATACATATTTACGTATTTAGTTTTGTTGGATTACAAAATCTTTTGTCATAGGCTCACTTCCTAGATAAAAAAAACTATTCATTTTACTTGCATACATATCCATGCATATATAAAGTATAAGTACCAACATAATTTTTGGAAGACTAAAAATTTCAATACTCTTCTATTCTTTGGAATTATAGTTTTTTTACCTGCGACCAAACCTTATAATTATCAATAAACACGTTATTTGAAAGTAGCACAAACCAAAGAATATGAGCACAACAGAAAAAAAAAATTATTTACTTATGCTAAAAAATTTTTTTTTGTTATACCTGTTTTGTTAAATTTTTTTGCTCTTTCAATGATATTTTTCTTCTTCGCTATAATACTATTGTGATAGGAGTGTGTCACTGTCAAAATGGCAATAACAAAAACTAAAGAAAGAGAGTTGTAATAAGAAAAAAACATTTAATAAATTGCAATCTAAATCTAAGTGAATAAATAAAAAAAAATATTGAGAATGAGAAATTAAATTTTTTGTATTTAAATACAGAGTGTAGAAAAATTTTATGCAGGCTGTAAGCAAAACTGGATATAAAAATGCGGTAAAGGAATAAAGTACTGTACATATACAATATCGCTGATGACCAATACTGGTATCTAGTATGTGATTCAATCTACAAGAGTCAGTTGCTGAATAATTTATACTTGGTAATAAAATATTTGCAATTTGATTTTGCAATATCCGGAATTTTACAGTATTATCCGCACTGTAGCTTTTGTAATAACACAGCATTAATGAATTTTAAATATCGGAGAAATTTACTTAATTAAACCAAGCAATTGTAATATTCTTGACTTCAAAAATTGTCTAACTTAACAAATTGTGTATTAAAATAACGCGGTTCTTCTTATGTAAATTGTAATTTCTGAATGGAGTTTAATTGTAATTTCTGAATGGAGTTTAATTGTAATTTTAAAGTCACGTATATGCAAACTATATACCTAAATCATTTTAGTACAATTTATTTCGCACGTATGCAGACTATTTTATTGAACATATTATTATAGTATTCAACTTTTAAGGACGGGTATATCATTTCATTTCTCAGAAGAAAGATAATTTATACCTACATACATACTATCTTAATTTTGTCTTTTACCATTTATAAGTATAATTGTTTATAAAATTCTTTAACTAAAAATTGCAATATACAATCTTTTTGAATTTCTTTTATATTCCGATTTCTTATAAAATATTAAATTTCTAAATAAAAAATAAATCATAAAAATCCAAATATTTTTATATGTATAAGAACATAAATATAAATATATATGTAGATGTACAATAGATTTGATGGCAATAAATTATTGATGCTAACAATATTGCACAGAAAATGATTCGAATTTCTGATAGATGTAAGTACCTGTTCACGTAGTTAAACTTGAGTTTACAAACAACACGTCAAGAATATTAATTATTAATTTTTTTTTTTAGTACATTATATATACATACATACTACATAAATAATTTCATAGATTGTAATTTTAGTTCTTAAGATTGTAAATTTCAATTTATAATATTAAAAAAAAAATTATAGACTTGAAAAATTCAAGGCATTTTAATAAAAAAGAATCTGATAAAAAAGGAATATTCCGACTAATGCAAAAAAGGTTAGAATATCAGAGACAATAAAATATTTTGAACTCGAAAATGATACTCAAATATCTCAATTTTTTTCGGTTTTCAATAAATATCATTAATTAATATCATTAATTTCTTCTGTTTCTCAAGTGAAAGCATTTCTTTTTTAATATTTAACATTGTCCTTCGAAATTCTAATAATATTTTATTACTACTACATTACAAGATGCAAAACATGCTAATTCCTAAATTGTGATTTAACAACATCCTTCGAAATTGCAATAATAAATACTGTCATACTACCTGTTCCCCCCTACAATTGCTTAATTGTGTTATAATAAATAATATTACTGCAATTAAAGTGGTCCGAACACCACTCTCTAGGCGCTTCTGGAACAAAAATAGTTTTAATGGAATAGATGTTCATAATTGTGTAACATTATCCGACAGACGTTTCAATATTATATTTTATAGCTATGATTGATTTCAGTCGCTAACAACGCTTAATTATTAAATCAATCGTTAATAATTATAGTTACGAGCTGCCTGAATAGAATTTCATCTTTACTATATATTATAAATTTTGATTCAGTTAACCAGTAACTATAAGTATTATAGACAATTGGGCAGCTAAATTATAGGTTGTATTCATAATAAATAATTTATTTATATTCATTTATACTTAAATGTATAAGTAGATTTCATTTAAAAATTCATTTTATGTAACAAAGATAATAAAAAAAAAATTCTTTGTGATTCATTTTTCGTATTGAATTGAACCACCGAAGATTTAAACATTAAAAAAATGGCACAATTTCAAAAGAATAATCAATAAATTCTAAGTATTTAATTTAAGTACATATTTATTGCAGTATTCAGCTAGTACATGTAAGTATTGACTGGATATTGAACATAAAATAAATGCTATTCAAATAATGATAATGTAAACGTAACATTTTTATTTTGCTACTTAAATATTTTATAACAATATATGTATTTAATAGCCTTGAGCAATTTTAAATCTATTTGAAAAGAATTTGGTTTTTTACTTTTTGTGGTACTAAAACCACGAAAACAAAAGGTGCTTTATAAAATACATACTACAAAATTGAACAGTAGGTAACCAAATAGTTGATGAAAACTTTTTACAATTCAATAAATTGTTCAATAGAAAATTTACAAGAAAAAAAACATACACAAAACAACAAGTATTACACAATGTTATTGCAAAATTATTATGCATTGTAATTGTAGATTTTACTATTGGCAATTTAACATACCCAAATTTTTACCCATTTAAACTAAGAAACTACAAAGAAATAATGTTTTTTTCTTTTAATTTCAAATCTATTTGAATATTTCATCTATTTTACATGGTAGTATTTTAATTTAAAATTAGGTATTAAACTTCATCACCTTATTTTACATGAACGTGCCCACATATTGTATTAGATTTTATCTTGAAATGATAAATACATGAAATATTCATGCATATTTGAATCACTTGAGTCGTGTTGCTATTAAAAACTTTTCCAATTTTCTGTGAATATAAACAATTCCAAAATTTGAAGCTCTATAATGAAAACTAACATACATATTTTTCAAAAATATCCCATCACCTGAAGTAATACGACACATACAATATGAGTTATTAATTTAAATGTTTTATTTAATCGGATGGTTACTATTGTAATTGATACGGTATTCCAATTATGAAGATCTTAAATCTAGTAATTTTTGTTTATGTTTTGCTTGAGAAGGCTAGTAACTTTAAATCTGACAAAGATTGTTATTTTCATTGTAAATACCATTGATATTGTAAATGAGCAGAATCTTCTTACTTGAATGGATAGGCACCCATATGGGTTCAAAATTTTTAACAATGCTTTGGTGAAATAGATTTGATTTTATTTAATTTTAATTAATCACGAATTGAAATTTGCTCTACTTTCATTTTATCTCCTTAAAACTAAAATCATTTAATTATGTACTTTAAAATTAATCGATTCAAATAAATTTTATATTTTACACCTATCAATAAATTAAAATTTTCCTACTCTTTTGGGAAAAATTATTATAAATTGCTTAAAATAATTTCTAGAAAATAAGAAATTAATTGAATATTTAATTTTTGTTTTCCACTTTTATAATGTAGTTAAATAAATGATTATTTCTAATTTACACTGTTCGTTAAAAAATACAAAAGTGAAATGAGAATAAGTAAATTTTAAAAGTTTATGTAGCATTTAGTATAATCACCTGTATAAATTATTCAACTAAAAAGAAAATTATAAAAAAAAAAAAGAAACCCTTAATTATATATTTCAAATTTTTTCAAAAACATTTCATTTTTTCGTAGTTAAAACTATAAAAGTTTAGTAAATAATTGCCAAAGAAAAAATAATTCAATAAATTTTAATAGTAGGTGGTTATCACATCTTGTACTTAATAAATAATTTAAAAATTTGTTCACTTCATCAGGATTAGAAAATTTTTGAGTAAATTTTGTAGTTTAATTCGAAATTTTACAGATTATTATTCAAGAAATCCAAGCATTACAAAATTGTTACAGTAAAATTAACTATTTTAGAATATTTATTATTCAATGCACTAAAACTACCAGCCTGAACTGTTACATACTGTGACACAGTAAAAATATGTATCAATTTTGGAATATAATATTGTAAACCTAAAATAATTTTCAAAATTAAAAATTTTTTCACTTTAATTCAATTATAAAAATTTGCAATTTAATTTTTAAATTTATTAATTTAATAAGTAGCATAAATAATTTTTCTCTAATTTTTATGGCATACAAATAAGAAATCTTACAAGAGAGCTACTTTTATAATTATTTAGCCAGAAATTAATTTGAGAATATGTATACGTATATAATGAACATTATAGAAATGCAATACCATTAAATTTTTTTAAAGATTACATTCTACTTTATAAGCTAATTGGATTTTTTTTAATTAATAGTAATTTTGCATTCGTTAACAAATGTTGAATCTTAAATTCTAATTCATAAGCTTTATCTAAAGGTAAATTCATTAATTGTTTTCCAACACTTTTACCAAATATTTCTAATTCATGTTCACAGTTATTATGACAGTGATCATAATTGTTTCGAATATCATTGAATTTACAACTAACATTTGAATTACAACGGGGCGGTTTTGGATGTGTTGAACATAAGAAATTGGAGTCTTTATCATAATTAATATTATTATTTTGTTTCTGTAATTTTAGATCATTATTTTTTGAATTTGAATAATTCTTTTCTATAGAATTTATTTTAGAACATCTTCTCGAATCCAAAGTATCTGTTATGGTATCGTTAATAGTTTCATTCTTTATATCAATTATAGAAATTTCTTCTTCATTATTTTCCAATTCTATTTTTTCTATAGCTTCTTCATTATCATTTGTACAAGTTATTTGCTTTCGTATATAGGAAGAACTAGTTGGAATATCATCAATTATTTCATTTTCACCTTCAATAAAACTTGAATTGGAGTCATTGTTATTAATATGTTGGTTATCATCTTCATCAATAATTGTTGTTCTGGTTTCGAATACATTCTTTAATTCACTATTAATGCCAATCTGAAAATTTACAATTACAAAACATCAATTTTTTAAGGTGACAGATTAAAATATAATTTTTTTCTTTATTATAGAACATTTCAAATAATTTAAAAATTTTATAATGGCCACAACCGACGACATGAACCATGCCCTCGTTGCGTCTTATTTTCATTCGGAACACAATAAAGAACCGATGAAAGAAAATCATTTTTCAAAACCTGGACCATGATAACTTTTAAGGATAAAAACTATATGAGTTCTCTAAAAACCTTTCTTACAATAAAAAGTAAATTTTAGACTACATATAAAAAAATGAATAAAAACCAAACCTTTTTTAATTTTTGTAATTTTAAATCTAGTATCTTGGATTGCATATGAGTTTTTCTTTTAGCAAGTTCTTCAATCAATTTATTATGACGTTTCATTTCATACAACTGCTCTTGCAAGATTCTATTTGTGATTTTATTTTGTTCATATAATTTTCCTAATGATGCATTCAACTCCTTATTATCAATTTTATTATCTTGTTGATTATTATTCTGTTGAGAGATACTTGATGAAAAGCTTTCATGTAATTTCTCCTGACAATTGCTTCGATTTTCAAAATTATATTTGTATTTTCTCTTAACTCCACCAGTTTTACTTTCCGAATGTGAATCAGTTAAACTTGGATTTAAAGAATCATCATTATTTTCTTCATTTATTCTATCAACAACTTCAATATTTTCTATGATTGTAATATCTTCATTTTCTGTTGAATCACTTCTTGGAGTTGAAAAAAATTCAATTGGAAATAAAGATTCATCATTGTTTTCATAATTAATTCTATCATCAATTGCTTCAGCATTTTCAATGTACGAATTATTTTCATTTTCTGTAGAACCAACTTTTGGAATTGTAAAAATTTTAACTTGATTTGACTTTTCTTGATAATATTCAAATAAAGATAATTGCATAGCTTCTCTTTCTAAAGGAGTGAATTTAATTTTTTTATTCATGTTCATCATATTTAGTTTCTTTTGGGCGAGCAATTTTTTCCTTAAAACATATTTATAATCAGCCCAAACCTAAAATTAAAATTAACAATTAAATTTATTAATTTTTGAATGTAAAAAAAAATGTAATTATCTGAACCTTTTTCCATTGCGTTACATCTTTTTTTGGTGGTCCCATTGCATTTAAATGTATGGATAAATTTTTCCAGAAGTATAGAACATCTTGGGAAGTTCTTTGATTACCATTTTCTTCTATTTTTGGATATTTTTTCATTAGATCGATCATTGCCCGAAATTGTTTTGGATTTGTAGTCCTTGATTTAAGATTACTTATGTAAGAAAGAACGAATTTTAAAAATTTAGAAAGCAGCCAAACTTGGTGTAGATAAGGTACCTACTTACCTTTTATTTTCCACTTTTTCCATTGTTTTTATGTTAAATAATGCAACTGTTGATAAATAGTTCTAAAAAATAAATATTAATTGTTTTGTTAAGCAAAAATCTTAAACATTAGAGAATTATTAGAAAAAGTTTTTGAAGAGAATCAACCACAGAATTGGAGTGATAGTAATTTAAATGGGGTAATTAATACAAGTATGTATGTATGTATGAATTACGAATTGAATGAACCGAATAGTATAACTACACGTTTCATATTGTACCTACAACTCTTTTCGCTTGTATCAGGATTGGATTTTATATTATAAAATTAATAAATAGTTTCATTAATGAAAACAGTAACTCTGTATTCGCTAAGGGTTGTGCTAGTATATTTGGTGATACGTATAAAGGAACAAGGAACTGGATAGCAACTCATACGCTCAAAGATTCCAGATGGGATTTACGAGAAAATTCACATTAGATAATTAGATACTAAGTATTTTGACTATATATATTTACCTATGCAACCAGGTTAAAAAAACTTATAATAAAATAGAATTTCTCTAACTTTTTTATTTGTTTAAGATTTTTAATTTTAATCGAATTTTTATAAAATGAAAAACACGTCTGTAAAATCCAGAGTTTTCAGACTAAATAATAACAAATAAATATTATTATTATTGTTTCTTCAAAATTAGAAAAGGAAAAATAGAAGATAAATTTTGTATTAAACGAATAAGTAAGAAAGAGAAATTGAATATTTACTTGCATGCAAGTAAATGAATATTATCTATTTTCAATTAAAGAGTTACTCAATTTGCTCTCTTACTTAAAATTTCTATAATAGAAAATTGCTGTTGGAATTGTAAATTGAAATGTCATTTTACTTGTGTGCTTAACATGAAAAATATTCAAAACAAAATTTTATTCTCTCAATTTTGTGGTGAATTTTAAAATCAATCTTAACCTCAAATAAAAACTAAAAAAAAAAAATCGGTTTTTCTTATAATTATATTTTTCTAGTTATGTATATTAAATTTTTTTTTTTTTTTGAAACAAATAAATAATAATAATATTATAAATGGCGATAATATTAAAATATAATAATAATATAATGTTACGACATTAAATTTTTCAGCAACAATATTTCCTCTTAATTTTTACAAATGAATTGGTTCTCTTCCAATTGCTTCCAATTTTGCATTTGTTACTAAATGTTGAATCTTAAATTCTAATTCATAAGCTTTATTTAAGGGTAATTTTTTTAATTGATTTGATATACTTTTACCAAATATATCAAATTCATCTTCAATATTAAAATTATTTTTATTCTGAATATTATGATTTTGTGTATTATTATATTCAACTTCTACATTATTATATTTGGAATAAATATTTTTATTTGAACGTGCTTCAGGTGGTGTTACACATAATAAATTAGAATCATCATCATAATCAGTATTTGCATTACCATCAGCTACCATATATTCTTCTGATAATCCAGGATCATATTCCATATTAAATTCTGAATTTAAATTATTTTGTTCTTCATTCTTTATTCTAGATTTATTTATTATATTAGATGTTATCGGTGGCCAATCATTAACTGCTTCATTTTTTATTTCAATAGAACTTGTATCAGAATATTGATTAAAATTTTCATCATCAGTTTCATTTGATGTCATTAAACTTCCTTTTGTTCCGTCATCAGATCTATAATCATCTACCATATTTAATGATAGTCGATTTTTATCACATGACTTTAAAATGCTTTTAGCATACATTATTTTGTTATCAGCAATCTAAAAATTTTTAAAATTATCATTTAAAAATATGCAAAAAAAACCAAAAAATATAATAATAATAGAGGAGTTTAAAAGATTCTACAAAAAATTTAGTTGGTTACTTAATAAAATTTTATTCAAAAATGGTTTACCGTTCCTCTATGTTGTACAATATCTTTTAAAAAAGCGTCTGCATATTCGAACCATTCCAGTTGTGTATTATATTCTTCACCAGATTGTAAATATTGTTGCATTTTTCTACATTCTTTTGCATACATTGTTCTTACGATATTGATTTTTGTTATTACTAACGGTATATCAAAACCTGGTAATTTCATTTTGTCTCTTATATCGCGCAAACAATTCATTCGAACACCTCTGTCTGGATAAAGTGGATGTTTTTTATTCCATAAAGATTCATGTTTCTGATAAAGCTTTAGAAATTTTATAGTTGTTGCTGAGTCCCATTTCGGGAATGATTTAATTTTTGATTTTATTCTTCTTCTAATATTGCTATGTTTATCTGAAGACATTAAAATTTCTTAAAGATTTACTTTACAATTAAGTAAATTCACAAAATGTGATAAACTTGAACAAAATCAATAATAATGTTGGTTAAGTGATGTGTGTAAATCTTGGTTGAAAATATGTAAATCTTTTAAACGAAATCTTATTTATAAAATTTTAATAATTTTAATATGCTCATTAGCATTCGCATAGATTATAAATCTAAAATGTATCCTTGATCCAATATTCTTATTGAAAGATGATTATCTACTGTTATATACCGCAGTACTCAGGGCACTGAACAAGCAAATTTTCGCAGATTCAAAATTTGAAGCATCTATAACAAACAAATTTTCTTCTTTTTTCAAGCATAAAATTTTTCCAAATAAAATTTATTTAATATAAAATTTTCTTTTAAGCTTTGGCATGTCTGGTGTTAATATTATTATAGGTTATAATTTTGGCAATAAAATTTCTTATTCAATTTTTCACAAATTTTGAATTTTCATTTAATTCTGTTCAATTGCATTTCTAAATTTTTTGTAATAAAATTAAAATTTACAAGACCAGAATTAATATTAAATTTGACAATGAATGAAAAAAATAAACACAAGCTTATCACTCAAAGTTTTTAACTTAAATGCCAAAATTATTTATTATTGACATTAAGAAAAAGATGAATATAAAATTGATTTTTGCTTTAGATTATTGAAGAGAGACAAGGAAAAAGAGTAAAATATTTTCGTGCGAGTAAAAAATATATTTGCATTTTGATATTTTTAATATTATTATTTTGTTTACTACTACGGCATAAATTTTTTTTTCTCTCATTTTACAGACAATTTCTCCAACACAATAATAAGTTGTCATGTCACTTGTCATGAATAATTTTAGTGTTGAATTTTTATTGTCTCAGAAATTAAAATTATTATTCTTAATTTTAAGTAAAGAGAGTAAAGTAAATGAAAGCGGATTGTGTTGTGAGTTGTGATTTTGTGAGATTGTATTGTTGGAGCACTGGTCAGAGAATACTGTCAATAATATTGTTATGGATGTTTTATGCTGGCTTAACCATTCATAATTACTTTCAAAACTTTTAACATTCTGAATTTATTGTCTCATATTTTTTTTTGTATTGCGGCAGTAATTTTCAATATTTTACTTTATTTAAAATTAAAACGGTTTAAAAAACAATTGGTATTAGTTTGCGAAATGGAATCATGGGTTTTTAAAAACTTAAGCACTATATAATTGGCGAACATTTGGTAAACGTTAAAGAAATGAAATATTTGCCGATTCTTCAATGATCAATTTCAAAAGCGATATACTCACCAAGTTTCGAAATAAAATATTTTGTTAATGTTAAAACAGTAAATATTTTTGCAGTTATATTTCTAATTTACAAAATTTTAGGACAGTAATTTTTTATAAATGAAACAAGTTTACAATAACTTTAATGCTAGTAGAAATACTATCATTATAAACAAAAACAAAAACAATGAAATTCGATGAGAAAAAAAAAACTGAAAAAAAATCAAAGTGCTTTATAATTTACTGTTGCTGTCATTTGTTAAATTTGCAATAACTATAATGTGGTAAATTTTATAATAATAAGTGATACTAGTAAAATGATGTGTATTCAATACCATGACAATTAATAGAGATAGTTTTCTGACACTATGATAATACAATTACGTTAGTGCTCATGTGTTTGTATACCAACTACATTTAACCATATTTTACATAAAATACTCATACTTTTAAGTAAGTACAAAATATCAACGATATTTCAGTTGTCTCGTCAGTATTTCTCCTCTAGTTGTTGAGTCTCTTTCGAGGTGATAATAATTATTATCGAGGCATTGAAATTCTTATCTTTTTTTTTTTTAAATATTTGACAAGGCATAAACAATATTCAATTTTCCATTGTAAAAACTAATTTAAAAATGACAACAAAATCAGGAAATTTAGGACTTGGTTCACTTGAAAAATGGGATATTGCAACAACAAAAAAATTTTTAAAACTTTATCGCAATTATAGATGCCTTTGGGATCACACAGATGCTGCATATAAAGATAAAGCAGAACGTCAAAATGCTTTAGAAAGCATAGCAAGTGCTATGAATATAACTGGATTTGATTCCCGTTATGTTGTATTAAAAGTACGGGCATTACGTTCAACATACCTTTATGAAAGAAGAAAGGTGAGATTAAGATTAAAGAATGGTGAAAAATTTCAGACACATTTGGGATGGTTTCATTTAGCTGACAGTTTTTTACGAAATTATGTAGTAGAAAAATCGTATTTGGTGAGTTTTATATTTAAAAATCATTAATTTTCGAATAAATTAAGAAATTAACGACGACATGATTTAATTTTAATTTTAATGCTATTTTTAGCATGGTGATGTTTTTAAAGATCCCAATAAAGATTTACCACCACCAGTTGAAAGTGAAAATTTTGAAAATGATGGTGAAGTAAGTAATGTTGGATTCCCAAAAGAAGAATATGCACAATATGAATTGTATGAATGTCCAAAATCACAAATAACAAATTATGCTGAAAATGAAGATCAAGAACTTCAATTACATGTTTTGGAAGTTCAACAGCAACCACCACATGAACAACAACCACAACAACAACAATTACAAGAGATTCAAATTAAAAATCCTTTAACAATTAAACAAGAAAAAATTCAATCTCGTAAAACTGAAACGAAAAAAATAGAAGTACCTTTGAAACGAATCAAAACCGATTCTGAATCAACTGGAATTCCTGTTCTAGAAGAAAAGAAATTTCCCTCCGAAGAACATAATCAACAATCAGTTACAACAACTCAGTCACAGCAACAACAATCATTAAATCAAATATCATTTAATATGATACCAATTAGTCAACAAACAACAAATTCAGTTCCAATATCTGTACAATCAATTTCTAATATAAAAGCAGATGTAAATACAACTTCATCAATACCTGATCATCATGGAGGTTCTGTGAATCTAACAATGTTACAATCTGATACAGTACAAAATCAAAATTCAACAACTATATACGATAATTCACATAATAAGGCTAGTGAAGATGATGAAGATGAATTTGATGCATTCGCTAAAAGTGTTGCAATGCAATTAAAAAAAATCCCTAAGGCTGATGCATACAGTTTACAAGTTCAATTTCAATTACTTTTATCTCAGGCAAAATTAAAAGCAATGGGTAAAGGAACTTTATCTTTTGATTTATCTGGTTTCTTAGGTAAACATTAATATTTAAATATAAAATAAAAGGCAGGAATATTTTAAGTAAAATTGGGAACCTATTTACATTAAGTTTCAATTTAAGTTATGGAAAACAAGTTATGTATTTGTAATTTTCGTGTTATATTTGGACTTTGAATATTGAATAGTTGCTTTGCGCCGAAAAGCTCTTGTACATAAATTATAATTTTCTTCTCTTAAGATGTAAATAAAAATGCTTTGAATATTATGACAAACATATTTATTACATAAATGTTCCTTTTCTCTATTAAAAGCCAAAGAAAAGCAAAAAAAAACGAAAAATGTTTAAGGACCAGAGTATTGAGTGATACATGGAGGAAAATTATGTAATGTACATACATATTATATTAATTTTAATCTTAAATTAATTTTTCTAATAAAATACATAATTAAATCTTATTAGCTATTTGAAAAATTGTGACGAAATTTTGTGAATTATTGCAAAATAATTTATATTTTAATTGTGGAACATTTTTACTAAACATATGCTAACAACTTGCATATATCTATCCCATAAACATCTTGTCTCTTGATCCCTTGATATTTCTAAATCTAATACACTTTGTGTAACTGCTGGTAAAAATTGCTTTACTTGATCTAAATTCCAATTATTTGTACGCCATGGATCAATTAATTTTTCAGCAAATTCTACAAATATACAACGTAATTCACGAGTTCTATGTAAATTACATGCAATTGTTATTAATGATCTCCAATATGATCTAAAAATAAAATAATTCTTAGAATTTCACAAAATAAAAAAATTCATTTACTAACCTAAAATTTGTATCTAATTCATGATAAGTTTTTTCCAATAAAACCGGTTTAAGCCTCAGCGAAACAAGACTGAAATAATTCAAATTTTCTTTAGATAGAAAATAATTTTATTATTATTTTTACATACTGTTTTATTTCTTTTTCTTTATCCAATAAAAATCTTAATTCTCGAAGATCTAATAGAAATTCCTTATCCATTTCTGTATCATAATATTCTGGACCAGAATGTTGATATGTGTATGTCCAAAATGTCATTATAGCTTGTGAACAATCAAAGAAATCTGAGAATGTTAAATATGATAATCTTCTTTTTGTTGTTTCAAAACGTAAACAGGCTAGAAATACAACGGTAGCGTATTTTCTACAATTAAAAATTTTAATTTGATTATAAGGAGATAAATATCAAATTATTTAAAAGATAGTAAATACTATCTTGTAAAATTTTTGATTATAACTTGATTTAAGTACTCTACGAATTCTTACTTTGCCAATTCATCCGGTAATAAAAATAATTGTTTAATATTATTTGTTATATTGCCGGGCATTTCTTCTACTGCCTTATACACTCTTTTTACATTATCAAATTGCCGTCTACATGATTTTAGGCGGACGCATGTTCTATCAGAAACCTCATCTAAATCTTTACGATATCTTGATGTTAATTTTTTACCAAGAATTTCTCGTGCAACACTATCATCTAATGAATAATATCTAAAAATATTATTCTAAATTTATTTCGATTCCGATTTTAATAATTGATAAATATAAATATGTACAATTTCTTTACTTTTCAATTAATAAATTTCTTGTTTGTGGTTCTAATTGAAATGAAGGTTGCTCTTGAAGTTTTGTTGGTGTATATAATAAACGTTCAATTAAAGAATAAGTACGATAATGATCTAAAACATCTGAAGCAATTAATTCTAATGGTGCGCCCATAAATTGATCAAATCCTTTTTGTTTTAAAAATGAAACAGCATCACTAGCTATAATTTTTTTTTAAATAAGAATTTTTTCAAGAAATTCAAAATTTACAAAAAAAAAAATAAAATTTTATGTATGGTATATGCTTACAAGAATATCCTTCAATCCATAACTGATATATTTCGGGATCTACTAAAGTATAATTGCTAATGAAAACATCAACTTCAGCAAACATATTTGGTAATTTCTTATAATTATTATTTTTATTAATTACAAGTATATTTCAAATTCTTTAAGGTAAAAATTTTATAACTTTGTTATAAAAATTTTGTTATTCTCTGTAGCTGTCAAAAATTTCTAAATCAAAATAATAATATGTCATTATTTTTGTTGTTAAATGAAAGAAAATAAGAAATGTCAAAAATATAGGAAATACAGTGATGCCAATTTTCATGATTCCAAATAGTTTGTGTCTATGATAAAAATAAATTTGTTAAAATTTTAATCGTAAATTATTATTGTAAAATTATTGTATTTGATTCGTGTCAACGATAAATTAATCAGTATCCGTACCATATAAATTTGTAGTCTTATATAATTTAAAATATTTAGATAATCCACAATAAATTTTGCAATTTTAAATTAGAAATTGTTTTAAATTCAATTCATCTAATTTTTTAAATTGCAAAATTGATTTCATACGATTAATTTATTGTGGAATCGATTGATTAATAGATGTCGCTATATGTTTTAATCTAAATATCTAAAAGTTTAATAGTTCATAAACTTAATAACAGAGTTCCCTTCTTCATTAATTTTAAAATATTATTGCTATTCTCTTTTTGTTCGTAAAATTGGCTTAGTTTGAAGAAAATTTTATGAATTGTTCCTAAATTTTTACAATGTTACCGTTATTAAATGACCCTCCATAGCTCATATTGTTACTTATACTTGCTTCTCTTATAATATTACGGATAACAAGTTGCAAATCTAGACACATAATTAACTTCCACGGGGGCTCTAACTTGCCAGTGTTTTATTAAAAACCATTTTAAGGTTTGATATTAATATTATTCATTTAAAAAGGGACAAATTCCTCTTTGTTATTTGCAGTTCATACAATAAACAATAAAAAATTTCTTAATATTTATCTTACAAAATGCTTTTTTTAAAATTTATTTTCATTACAGTTACGAATCGGTACAAATAGGTACAAATCGAATGTATTAAATTACACATTTTATGAAAAAAAAAGGTGTTACAATTATAAAAAACTTAAATCTACAAAATTTACAAAATATAAAAAAAAATTTAAATCACATTTAAAAAATTTTTTTAATTTTCCAACGCATTTATGTATTTAAACATATTTTCCTTTCAATTTTCACATGGTGTACCTTTAATAATTTCTGATGTTGTACCTCTCATTATTCTATAATTAACATCATCATTGTCTAATGTTTTATAAATGAAATTTGGCAAACGATCTGATAATACCCATAAATTACCATTTTTATCAACTTTAAGATCATTTGGGAATATTAATGCATTACTATCTGAATCAACTAAACCAGCTGAATCTGGTCTATATTCTTTATTTGTATTCCAACAACCAATTGCATCTTTATTTAATTGTGTATAAAAAATATTTTGTGTTTTTTTATCATATACTTCAGCTGAACTTTGACCATTTAAACCACGATCACCAATTAATTTAAAATCATAATAATAATTAAGACCGGTAACATGAGTTTCATTTTGTAAAACTTTATTTGATACAACAAATTCTTTTGTACTTGCTAACGGATGGAACCATATATCACGTGTACCATCTGATTTTTTATCACCAATAGCTAAAGCAAATAAACCATCAGTCCATTGGAAATTAACACCACCAATATTAAAATCTCCATTTAATGGATCAAAATGGAAGAAATTATGTTTAACACGCCATGATTTATTTTCATTTAATGAATAAACAACTAAACCATAACTTCCAAGATCTGGTACATATGCAAAAGAATTTCCACAATCATCGGCATCACTTTCAACAACCTAAAAATTAAAGTAGTAGGTTAGAGAAATAAAGCAGCAATTTTATTATATATTAGTAATTTAGTATTTACAATATTAGCAAAAAATGTATCTTCTTTAATTTGCTCTTTTGGAATATCATAACGTCTAAGTAATTGATCTGTTTTTAAATCGAATACAACAATAGCTGGTGGTGCTATTTGATTTGGTTTCCCTAATATATCAGCTAAACCAGTATCCATTACCCATAAACGATTACATTCATCAGCTTGAACACGGAATGTTGATATAATTGTTGAATTATCTTTTAGACCATCACCGACAGCAACTGGTTTGGCAGCATGATCACGTCCAGCTAAAAAAAATTTAAATATAAATGTAATTAATATTGGAATCTTATTTATCTTAATAATTTAATTTTTAATTTTTGAGTTTTTTAAAATCATAATCAGTTTTTAAAATTTTAATAATCCAATCGTCAGTTATTGGGGGTAAGGTAGACCTACATATTTTATTACAATATTGGAAATGGATTTTGTGCTTTCTTTTTTAGGAACAAGTTGATAAAATTTGTTTGGAAATGGGAGCAGAAAAATGCGTTTTATTTTCATGTAAATTTCACATCTGCGTGTACCATACATCGGTCAGTTTTTAAATAATTCATAAAAATATAGAAGTGAGAAGCTGCTAGTAAAAGGTATATATGGGTTGGGATGTCAAATGGTTCTATATATGTAAGTAAAAATACCTCGAGGAACTTTCTTAACTAATTTATCAGTTACTGTAAATCCAAAATGATAATTATGTCCTTTTCCAAAGAACCATTGTGATTGAGATTTAATCATATGAAATTCACATGGTTTTCTATTACAATCTGAAAATATTATAAAGTAATTAAGTATGTAATGTTTGTGTTACAAGTATGTATATAGTTTTCAGTCAAACTTGTAATAATTTATATGTCAAAATTAGTTCCAATAATCCAAAATTTAAAATGTATCCTGTTTCAGTCCTCTCTTTCCCAGTAATTAAATTATGTTTGTATATACAGAGTAAACAATTGTTTTTTTGTAATTTGTAAATAGGTTCTAAGTGCATGTATAATCAAGTTATAAGTATGTACATTGTTGTGCTTAAGTTTTATTTCGGAATTCTTTTATGTTTGTCCAATTTCAGATTTTTTTTTTTCAATTATCCTAGAATTGAAAATATTTAATTTAAAATATTTGTGTATTTTTTTTTTTAAATTTAATTTTATTCCTTCACCAAATCTAAAGTGAAACTGTGTAGAAACTTTAATAATTTCAACATAATTTTCATTGTCCTTAAATAATGTTGGCTTCCGTTCTTAAACCTCTTAAAATTTTAAATATTGCCGTTAATATGATCGACGAAGCGAATGGCTTAGTAAATCGAATAAACTTAGCGAATCGAACTTGGCGAATATTTTGTTCGTCAGGTCCAAAATGTTGCCAGCTCAAGTCACTAAAAAAAAAAAATGCGATAAAAAAATTACTTGTTTAGATTTTTAATTTTATTTGTCAAACTTGTCACACAGAATATTCATTTTGTCATTTAGAGAGTTTTGACAACTCATGGCGCTTAAAATTTTCATGTTTTGCTAAAAATGTCATTCGCTTCACCGATCATAATAAGGGGATAAATTTACTGCAAATTAAAAAAAAAAATTCCTCATTTTTTTTTTAAATTTTCTACTTAATTTAAAACGCAGTGTAAAAGAAGCAAAAGTACATAAATAAATTCAATATTGCATACGTATAGGCGAACATGTTGAAAAATGTTGGCAAAAGCAAAACAAATTTTTCTAAAATATTTACACACATTAAGCGTTTAAATTTTCTCAAATATTTATTATTACAAAAAAAAAAAGATTTTTTTTTTTTTAGGTCAACATAACGTAATTTTTGTGTATACGGAGTCAAGAATGGCAGCATATGATGTTGAAAAGGATAAATTAATAAAATTTTGTATAATGTAAATGCGGCATATACCTATATGATACGTTGTAAAGGATTATTTATTGTAAAAATGTAAACTATGTGCAGTATAGTAACTGAAATTCCAAATCATTTATATTCATATGGTTAATATTATTGTAAGCTTGCCAAATTATATTAAGGAATTTTAAATGCATTTATATATGCGCTATCGTATTCGTAAATACTATTTGTACAAGTACAATGTCGTTGTCGGAATGAATCGTGTCAAATCAGTAATAGAGACTAGAGAGCAAGAAGAGTAGTGACTAGTGAGAATATCTTTTGATTGCGTTTTAATTTATTTCATGTGCGGATTTGAATGCCATCTTTTGCCGGGAAATTTATTAAATTTATTTAAAAATTTTGTGAATTCTGTTAATTTCGTAAATTAATTCTCGGGCATTTGTCAAAAAATGTTTAACTATACATTAAAATTGCATTGCAATCGAAATGCTTTTAACAAATTCTCAAGTATTATAAATTATTTTCAATATTGAAATTACTAATTCTAAAAAATATTTTCTAAATTAAATCGATTTTAATTCATTATATAAAATAAATTTTTACACAATTAATTTTATTCTCGTATTGAATTAATATTTTTAATTTAAAAGGCATCCTAATTTCGGAGTTTGTTTGAATATGTGGGAACATATTGTATTATAATTGTCATTTATAAACATATTATATTATAAAAGTGGGAACATATTGTACTCGTAGTACCCTAGAAGCGTATTTCTGCACTATATTCATGGTTTTAAAATTTAAAATTATGAAAATAAACCTATGGCAATCCTTAACATTTTAAAAATAATTCTTTATACAAAAATGAACAATTTAAAAAAAATTATTTTGAAAAATAAAATCCAAAATTAAATTTCTTTCCTTTACATAGAAAATACATAATACCTATATTATTACCTATGTCATATTATTTAAAAAAAAAGCTTAAAAATACCCTGAAGAAAAAGTTATTACCAGATATCTTACGAATACACGTATTTTTATATACATTAACATATACATAGATACCTTGTACAAAAATTTATAATTCAAATTCAATAAGATCATAATATGCTTATAAAATTATACTTCATCTTCTTTCAATAGCCCTATTTATTTATTCTAAACCACATACGAGTAATATTTATAAAAAAATCCCACCACTATTTTTATATTTTTAAAAAAATTTGCCTAAAATATATAAAGAAAAAATGCAAAATATATTTTAAAAAATTAAAGAAATTTATGATATATTTTACCAGCTGTTTGAATACGATCTTCAAGTTTTGGTGCATCACCTTCAATTGGTAATTCATTTGCTTCCCAACTTGGATATGGTCTTAATTTTGGTGATTTATCTTTACTATTTAAATCAATATAATTTAATGATGATGCAACACCAGCTTTCCATCTAGAAAATAGAAAAAAAAAAAATAAAATTATAAATTAAATTTAATTAAAAATATTTTTCGGAATTGAAATATTTTTCTCTTTGTTTTACAATTTCTCTTATCAATATTTTAAAGAGGTAATATATCATTAGAAAGAGATTAAATTAAATCTGGCGCCTGAACTGGGGTCATTTTAAGAATTTTAATATTTTTCAAATTTTTTAATATAACACAATTATAATATGTATCTATATATATAAAGAATTGGTGCCCGACGGGACATGTCAAAAATTTCAATAGTTTTCAAATTTTTTAATATAACATCATGTATGTTTATACATAAAACTGGCGCCTCAACTGGGGCTCTTCAAAATTTTCAACATTTTGTCTCTTTAACATATTCTCTTCTTCTTTCTTCCACTATACACTCTCTCCTTTTTTAACAATCTAGTATTTTAACTATCTATTTAACCATTTCTTATATTATATATAATATTTATTTTTCATATTTATACAACTTCATCGTATTACTTAATAATTATGTTATTTCTCTATTATTAATCAAAATATTCATTACATAAACTATTGTAATATTTATATTTTAGTTATATAAGAATATCGTATCAATCTTGAATGTTATCATCATCACCACACAATAAATCAAAATCATAAAAATTTTCATTTAAATTCAACGCCTCTTTAATTTGACTGTCTTTAACAATACTTTTTTAATATAAAAAGAATATTTAAATATTAAAACAATCAAAATAATTAATTAATTATATACAAATTACGAATATAATTTACTTGAAAACAATAATAAAAATTATCTATAAAAGTTTATTAGAAAAAAAGGAAAAAATTTAAGGATGCAGTCGGATTTTATTACTCATCTTTTATAGTACAGTGCCTTTGTGACTGTGTCAACTATAAATTTTTTATATTTAATGACTATTTAATAAAGTTTCTCTTTTATTTTGATTTTTATTTCAATTCTTTTTCTTTATCCCTCTCATATCTTAACAAAAATTTCATTGTTTCAAATATCTTCATTATCCTGCCTATCATAACATTGTGTTTTATTTTCCTATTTTTATTGTTTTGCTTTTAATTTTTAGGTCCTGGAATGATTTTTTGCAAGTTTTTCTACTTTTAAACTTAATTTTAGTTTTTGAGTTCAGCCTATGACCTTTTTCTCTCCTTGTTTCTGTTATTTTATTTTTTTTTGCCTCTGTATTATAATATTTTGACTTGTGTTACCCTCATTATCATTGTTACTACTATATTAAAAAGGATGAAAACAAAAAAAAAAAAAAATCATTTTCATTGTCGTTGTTTTGTCGTCATCATCATCATCATCGTCGGTAAAGATGAATGTCAGTCACTTGAACTATAAATGTTCCTAAAAAACATGAAACAAAAACATATAAACAATAAATGAAATACAATAATACAACAACAAAGCAATATGTATTAAAAAAACATAATAATAATGATGATAAAAATAATAACAAGAAAGTGATGGTGATGGTGAATGAGGAGAGAATCAGAATAGGAGAAAATATCATCTTTTAATCCCTTCTATATATAAAAATTTATCTGTTTTTGATAAATGATTTTTAACCCCTTGAGGTCAACTTTAATTTGAAAGCATTCTTGTTTTATTTTATATTTTTTTCTTTGTTGTTCCTGTTTTGTTATTTTTTTTTTTTCGTTATAGGGATATTTAAATTTATAATAAACTCTGGCATTAGAAAAAATAAAAATATTATTTTTTCTTTTTTATTATTTATTATAAATTTTTTATGTTCCGTGCTTTAATTTCATATTAATTAAAGAGAGTGTTAAATAATTCAAATCTCCGAAATGACATTTATAAAATATTGTCATAGTATGAATTTGATATAAAAATTTATTTCTCCGAAAAATTTTATAAAATTTTATAAATTCTGAAAAGTACTAAAGTACCGATAATTCGGAAAATTGGTGATAGTACAATATGTTCGGAAACAGCCTGCAAATATATTCCTGACAGTACGTTTTTGCATGCCCTTAAAATGCATTAATTATTAATTTTAATTTTCTTTTTATATTATGGAAAAGGTAACAATGGTAAAAATTTTAATTAATCTTTATAAAATGAAAACATATTTGATATCAAAATATTTTTGGACCGTATTCGACTGTATATTATTTGGGCCAAATTCAAAGTCCCATTAATATAAAACTGTATTAATAGAAATTTGTTATTGTTATCCTTTATGACTATGTTCTATGCATAGTTACCTAAACGTACCACATTTCAACTTCATTTTGTTTCGGTTCCTTTTGAAATTCGGACACTTTTATTAGTAAAATAAGTTTCCCCCAGAATTATTTCTTGTTTTCGTTTTTCTTCTGATTTTAGACATGTTTTCACTTTTTAACTTTCTGTTCTTACTTCTTATAGCCTTTTCGTTCTTCTATTATCTTAAATTTCTTAATAAAAATAATAATTTTAAAAGTTTCTCAAAACTCTTGAAAATGTAAGGTATACTATAATTATATATAGGTATAAAAATTGTATTGTACACGACGTGATCCATTAAATTTATTATCCATTAAAATTATTCATTATAGATATTAGAATAATATTATAGAGCACGGAAATTTAAACAATATTTGGTTCACAATATTAAAACATTATATAGTATTTTTACTTGTAAGTATACAACTGTTTCACAATTAATGTGAACATATAATTATGATCACATATTTATAGTAATTAGATTTGAGTAAGTAGTTAGAAAATTTTTCCTGGTAGAGTTGTTACAATTAGCTGGAAAATTAGCTCTAGTAGACTACATATATTTGTTCTCATTTTTACCACGCCTATGATTATTCATGATATTATTGTTCTTATTATTTTAATTGTAGTATATAATTGCCTCTGCGAATTTATCCATATTGGATATCGATTTGATTTAAAGGAATTTCAATAAATTTCTTGATTTATTCCCCTGCAATTGTAGTTGAATTCATCAGGTATTCCAATCATCATTTATTGTAATTAATATTGAATATAAAAATTCATGTAAATTAAAAGACTACTACTTCATATATTGCTAAAGTTTCCGGTTTCCTGCAATGTATTATGAATATAAAATTTAAATTAGGATAATATTTTTATATGCATGTGTACATTACTGAATTGTTATATAATTTATTTAATCCTTTATTGTATTTTCATATATTTTGTTATACTCTTCATAATAACCTTTATTCATTTAGACACTGTTTAAAAAATTTGAATATTACATATGAAAAAGAAACAAGTTAAAAATTTTTTCACGTACATTTTGTTTTTATAACCACAATTTTAAAATTTTTCGAATATAATCAAGTGGAGGAGGAAGTGGAGGAGAAGAAGAATTTTTGATAAAATTTATGTTATTAATATTTTTATAAATTATTTATTAAAATTTTCTATAAAAATGATTAAAATATTTTTAAAATGTTTTACAAATTTTTCTTTTTTCTAAAAATGAGAGTTTTTAGGTTAAATGGAAATATTTTTGAATTAAACGCGATATAGAAAGAAATAAGGGTATAAATTTTTTTTCCACTTAAAGGAAGGTGACTTAAAAAACTTTTTGATTTATTGATTTGGTTGTTTTTTTACAATTTTTCTTTACTTTTTCATTGAGATAAAAATTTACAATAAAAAGTGAAAATTATTATGAGAAATATTTTTAGTGTTATTCTTACTCAAGAATATCACATTGCACGAAAAGCAAATGATGCATGAAAAGAATTTAAATTTCGTTTAATAATATTGTATCTTAAATGTATAAATTTATGAGTTATTGTAGTTTAGAGTCTTAGATCCATTAAAAGATATAGCATTCGTTATTAAATGCTTTTTTTAAGATTATAAACTAATTTATTTGAAAAGATTAATGTTTTCTTAATGGCGCCTAACTCCCTACGTTAGAGTATCCCAAAGAGTAAAATCTTGTAATTTTTTAATTAATTATTTTCCTTATAAAGAAATTGAAATCTAAATTTTTTTAAATTAAATTTGATTATTAATTTACTTTTGCTAAAAACAAAATCAATTTATTAATTAAATTTTTAAACATATGTTCCTCAAGGTTATGTGCCTTTATACAATAAATTGAGTTCTTTTCAATATTGGTAATTTTTGAAAAGAACATATTAAAAAATTTGTAACAAATTTGTACAGAATGAAGAAGTATGGATACGATTTAAGAGATCTCTGAAGAGTTATATGTAGAACCTCCTCTGCAATTCTTCGAAATATCTACCTTCCAGTGAGTAATTTTCATTTTATTCTATTATTATATATATACATATAGAGAATTATTACATATAGAGGTCTATATATAATTTAATTAAAATCTAATTTATAAATTTATTAAAAACATTTTATGTTAAAAGTCCAAGGTTATGCAATTAATATTAATAATAAAATATTCAAATGAATTTCTTCTTTCTTCTTTTTTTTTTTTTTTTTGTTAATCCGATCCAATTTAAATATAAGACATCATTCACCCATCATGAAATTAAAATAAGGTTCAAATTTTCCAAAAATATGTAAGTTAAATTGGAATTGTTGTTATTGTTGATAATCTAAAATTATAATGAATATTTTAAGAACGATTGATGAAGTCAATGTCTTTTAAATGTTTTCTAATTTTTTCTTTTCAAAAAAAAAAATTTTAACATAAAAATAAAATTTTAAATAAATTTATAATTTCTTGAAGAAAACAAGAATATTCAAATATTTTGAGTAGTATAAAATCTGTTTTTGTTTTTTTTTAAAATTTACATTTATAAAAATTTTGGTTCTTTTCCTCCCTCCTCCCCCCAAACCATTGAATTATTCTTGTAAAGAAATCAGTTTTTTAGATTAAAATCTGAATAATTTATTTGATTATAAATGAGGGATTCAAAGAATTTACAAAATTTTAGTTTTTAAATACATACATATAAAGGATTTTGTTTAAAACTATATAGA